TCGACCGGCATACCTGAATTCATTCCGCTTGCCGATGCTGACCAGGATGATGTTCGCGAAGTTCAACTCAGTTACGAACGCGATCGCCAACAACAGCCGATGCCTGTCGTCTCCGAAGAAGCAGTTCGTGTTACACCTGACGAAATTGGGGGGGAAGAAGGGCCAGAAGAAAATTTCGCAGGTGCAAACGAAGAACGTCCGCGTTTTACAGAAACAGGATTACAGATACTGGGGTTCGCAGTCGCAGTACAGTACAACGTCAGTAAAATACCTGAACCAAAAACCGTTCGACAAGCTCTTACGAGTCCTCACCGAGAAAAATGGCGCGAAGCCATGGACAAGGAGCTAGCAGCACTCAAGAATCGCGGCACATGGGATTTAATACCGACTTCAGAAGTAAAAGGAAAGAAGGTACTTACCGGAAAATGGGTCTTCCGTGTCAAGACTAATGCAGATGGGTCGTTTGAGAAATTCAAGGCGCGATGGGTCGTCTGCGGGTTCGAACAGACTAACGGCATCGACTACGAATTAACTTTTGCTCCTGTCGGCCGACATACAAGCGTTCGGATTCTACTCTGTGTCGCCGCCTGCCGTAATCTCCGACTTCGACAAATCGACGTGTCAAATGCATTTCTCTACGCGCCTGTCGACGCACTTATCCTGGTAGAGTACCCGCATTCCTATACTACTAACCCACCGAGCATTTGCCGTCTCCGAAAATCCCTATACGGCATTAAACAGGCACCACGGCTCTGGCAGCAGTATCTCCACTCACAACTGATCGCTGCCGGTTTTCGTCAACTACCGCATGACCAGGGAATGTATCTACTGACCGACGGCAACAAATATATTTTGCTCGTCGCCTACGTCGATGACATCCTATTCGTCAGTACTACTGATTCCCTTGCTGATATCTTCATACTGAAATTACATAAAACTCTACAGCTTACTATCTCCGAAACAGTCTCACAGATTCTTGGTCTGAACATTATCTGTTCACCGACAACTACTCATCTCACCGCTTCGAAGTATGCAGCAACACTCGCTGCCCGCTTCAATCTCACACCTACTGCAGTCTCTACTCCGTACCGCTTACTACCGACTGACCACAAACCGAACACCGCATTGTTAAATTCAACCGATTTACAGATCTATCAACAGCAGTTAGGTTGTCTACTCTTCGCCGCTATCACTTGTCGTCCTGATCTAGCCTACGCGGCCAGTCAGCTCGCTCAGTTCCTACGCCGTCCTGAGGAAGAGCATCAGCTTGATCTTCTCCGCGCGCTTCAGTATTTCGTCTCGACACCTAACGTCGGTCTAGTCTACAACGTCATCGGTTGTAAAATGCTCTACCTACATGGTTTTGTCGACGCCGATCACGCTGCTGATTCTACTAATCGACGGTCACGCACTGGATTCGTCTATCGGCTTGAACCTATCGGGCCTATCTCTTGGAATTCGACGAAGCAGGAGTTGATTGCTCTCTCCTCTGCTGAAGCTGAGTTTATTGCTGTCTGTACAGCAACACGCGAAGGACTTTACTTACAGGAACTATTGGAAGAAGCGAAGTTGACGACAACTACTCAGTTTACCCTACAGTGCGATAATCAAAGTGCAATTCGCATCGCACATCAACCTGGTTTCGTCAACAGGACGACGCATATTTCGCTTCGTTATTTTTTCGTCAAAGATGAAGTCGAGAAGGGGAGGATGCGATTGGTCTACTGTTCGACCAACGAAATGGCTGCCGATTTTCTCACGAAGAAGCTGACACGACAGAAGTTTCAGTACTGTAACAAGCTCTGCGGAATCTTCAAGAAGTGACACTATCGAACTTCCAGAAATGAAGGAGAGTGTTGTGATATACACTGAGGGAAAAAACCGTCCGGATGTTTGGCACGAAGTTGGGTTTTTAGGCTTTAAGACTACTGTATGGTAAACCTGCAAGATGCATGGTGGTACGCGTTGGGAGAGGCACAAAGTGGATGCGTTCACAGCACTAAGAACTAGAATAGTACATTGGATCCAACTCATATTCCAAAAGATATACAACGAGTACATCCGGACAGTTTTTTCCCAGGACAAAGAGCAAACTTCCGAACAACGTTTCTAGTACCTAGTCCACCTACTCTTGGCGTTGATCACCATCCGCACCCTCCTAGGCATGTTATCTATGTGGTTAGTGCAGACCTTTGCATGAAGCTTCTCGCACTCTTCCTGGACCCACCATTTTGCATAAGGGGGTGAGCACAAGGAAAATTGCAAAGTATTTGAGCGTATGCATAAGTATTGTACACAAATTCTTAATGAATGTTATCTCAGAGACTAGCCAAGCCGAGGGGTGGCCAAAGATGCCATTAGTTAAATGGTCCCGGCTTATCATGGGTCGTCTTCGTCGTATCGTTCTAGGGTAAAATCACGAATAGAGTGGCAAAATCTAGCATTCCCGCCACGAATCTTAGGGTAACAGAGCACGGTCGACTGAACATCCTTTCACTGTGTGAACCATGTTAAAATCCGCGGGTCTAGTGACGGGGCAGCAGTCGAAGAAACCTCGACTGTTTGGGAAGAATATCTGGATTGAGGTCTGGTGAGAAAAAGGGTCACTCCAGCGCAACATACTTATGCTCTCCAAGGCATTCCATGTCATTTTCCCTGCCTAGGCTTGGAATGGCTCGGAGAGCATGGATATGTAGCTCTGGAGTGCCCCTCTTCCTCACCAGACCTCAACCCTGATATTCTTCCCAAACAGTCGAGACTTCTTCAACTGATGCACTGTCACTAGACTCGCGGATTTTAACATGATTCTAACAATGAAAGGATGCTCAATCGACCGTGCTCGGTTACCCTAAGTTTCGTGGCGGGTATGCTAGATTTTGCCACTCTATACGTGATTTCACCCTACTCTGATTCGACGAAAACAACCCATGATAAGCCGGGACCATTCAAGTAATGGCATCTTTGGACACCCCTCGGCTTGGCTAGTCTCAGAGATTACATTCAATCTGAATTCGTGCACAATACTTATGCATACGCTCAAATACTTCGCAATTTTCCTTGTGCTCACCCCCTTATGCAAAATGGTGGGTCAAGGAAGAGTGCAAGAAGCTTCATGCAAAGGTCTGCACTAACCACATAGATAACATGCCTAGGAGGGTGTGGATGGTGATCAACGCCAAGAGTAGGTGGACTAGGTACTAGAAACGTTGTTCGGAAGTTTGCTCTTTGTCCTGGGAAAAAACTGTCCGGATGTACTCGTTGTATATCTTTTGGAGTATGAGTTAGATCCAATGTACTATTCTAGTTCTTAGTGCTGTGAACGCATCCACTTTGTGCCTCTCCCAACATGTACCACCGTGCATCTTGCAGGTTTACCATACAGTAGTCTCAAAGCCTAAAAACCCAACTTATTGCCAAACATCCGGACGGTTTTTTCCCTCAGTGTAATTGATACCTAGCATTTCTGTAAGTCGATTAAGTGTAGTTAGTGTCGAATCATACTGTAGAAGATAAGTCCGTAGGATGACGTCAGCAAATAGCGCTCGTCATAGGACAGTCGTTTCAGTCACGCGAACAGTCGCACCTCTTCATTTTCATCTAGGGCGCATAGTGTCGAGTGACCCGCTGGGTTACCCTTGAAAAGATCCTCGGAGAAGGGCCACAGGTGCTAAGCCTGGGGGGTTATGGGCGCACTTACCCGCTATTTAACAAGCCCTTTTAACCCAGTGGTTAGTGACTGGGTTTCTGATATGGTATCAGAGCCAAAGGTCTTGGGTTCTAGTCCCAGCGCTAGCGCTGCAGAGGCGCTCGTGTCTTCCACCTATCCCAGCGAGGGGGGGTGTCGAGTGACCCGCTGGGTTACCCTTGAAAAGATCCTCGGAGAAGGGCCACAGGTGCTGAGCCTGGGGGGTTATGGGCGCACTTACCCGCTATTTAACAAGCCCTTTTAACCCAGTGGTTAGTGACTGGGTTTCTGATATGGTATCAGAGCCAAAGGTCTTGGGTTCTAGTCCCAGCGCTAGCGCTGCAGAGGCGCTCGTGTCTTCCACCTATCCCAGCGAGGGGGGGTGTCGAGTGACCCGCTGGGTTACCCTTGAAAAGATCCTCGGAGAAGGGCCACAGGTGCTGAGCCTGGGGGGTTATGGGCGCACTTACCCGCTATTTAACAAGCCCTTTTAACCCAGTGGTTAGTGACTGGGTTTCTGATATGGTATCAGAGCCAAAGGTCTTGGGTTCTAGTCCCAGCGCTAGCGCTGCAGAGGCGCTCGTGTCTTCCACCTATCCCAGCGAGGGGGGGTGTCGAGTGACCCGCTGGGTTACCCTTGAAAAGATCCTCGGAGAAGGGCCACAGGTGCTGAGCCTGGGGGGTTATGGGCGCACTTACTCGCTATTTAACAAGCCCTTTTAACCCAGTGGTTAGTGACTGGGTTTCTGACACATAGCGCGATAGTGACGAACATGTACATTAGCGAATAGGTACTTTTCATAGAACTACGGTATAAATCCTTGTCAGGTCTTTTCATTATTAACTTTGGTTATTCACAAGTTCACGTACTCAGGTTATTCAATCTTGACCTTCATATTTTACAAGACTTCCGCTGTCTTACTAGTCTACCATTCCAGCAAAGATCCTGGACCAACACTTGAGGATTTGCCAAGTGTTCGTGTTTATAGTTTTATACTTAGTCTATTACAACTTCAGACGATTTATTTCTGCCACTTGCCACCACGATTTGACAGAACGTGACAATCTGTGACGCAGGCAACCTATGACTGTTTGCCTGCAACGTGGCATGACGATGGTCCTCCTCACCATATAAGCGATCACGAGCAAGACTCGTAAAAAATCGGCACAAAAGGAATGTCTACAACACAGTTCAATTCCAGTTCATAAGCATAAAATTGTCATTCCATAGCCCCCGGACGTTATACAAAAAGTGCCACTAATTACACCCCCACTAAATTTTGCATCAAAATTTAGTGCCACCCGTGGGTGTTTTATCCGGGGGAATACTGTATTGGAAAAATAAAAATCAAAGTACAGTGCCAAGCCAACACGATACGGAAAGCTACCCCTTAACGCTTGGTATTTCTATCCATACAAATCCTCCAGAGGTATTCACCAAATTAGGCTTAGCAGCAGCCTGCTTGTGTAGAAGCCAACAACAGCAACTCTCGTTGCTTCACGTGCTTTCCTGACTGAAGTGCTGATGCAGGAAGTACGGTATTTGTGCGCATCCCACCTTATGCATGATCGCCATACCCCACTACAGCCACTCTCTCCTTGCCATCATCTTCTTTCGAGACCGAGGTTTGGGTGGCACAGGCAAAGATGCAGCTGGCATGCCTACCACACCATCCTCCTCTGCCCTGCCGGCCTCAGCGGGTGCACTGTCTGGGCACTCATCCTCTGCCATCGATGTGCCGCCCTCCACACGCGCACCTGCAGCAGCAGACGGTTGCACAACAATTACGGGTGCGGCCTGGTGCGTGGCAGCATCAAGGGTGGAGCGCACTGCTTTGCAGCCAGCAGAGCCTGCAGCCATGGGACAGGGCTTGTAAGTGCCATGGCAGTGTGTGGCGCCGCACATGCCGTGCTTGTCTGCCTCACCATGGCCAGCTGCACAAGCCACCCTGGGCGAGGGGGCAGAGGGGGCAGAGAAGTGGGAGGAGAAGAGGGACGTCATTTCCTCCACCGCCCTCTCCTCTGCTGTCAACACACCCTCGTCATGTGCCCTCCCCATCCCTCCCAACCCACTCTGCTCTACCCCATGTGTCCCTGTGTGCTGTACTGCTGCCACCCCATTCGTATTATCAACTGCTACAGCAGAACAGCCAACGCCTCCCTTAACGGACTCGTTGTCCCCTGCCATTACTGCTCTACCTCCCTGTGTCTCCTTGCCGCTATCACAGCCACCAACACCACCCTGTGAGCCACAGCGTAAGCCATTGCCCATCGCCACATCATCCACTGAAACGGGTCCAGAGGGGTGCACAGAGCGGATGGGGGGTTGAAAGGTAGGCTTGGATGGGTGGGCATGAGGGGGGAGGGAATGAGAAGAGTTCAAGGGAGCGTGCTGGCGGGAGGCAAGATGGGCCTTTGACTGGGGCGTGGGAGATTTGGGAGGGAGGCCAGGTGAGTTGAAGTCCGGTGATGGGGCAGGAGGAGCAGAGGGGTCGATGTGGTCAAAGTCTGTTGCCCTCCCTCCATGCTCACTGCTTGCATTCGCGTGCCCTGCTGCAGAGTCATGAGGAGCAGCAGCTGCGTGCTTGCTGCTGCCATGGCCCTGCACACTCCGCCACAGCTGCGCCATGCCATCCAGGTCCATGCTCTGCGACCGCGCGCACCCACACCCGCCCCTGCCACTGCGCGCCCTGCCTGCTCTTGCCCATTCTCCACCTCTCCCACCTTCCGCCCCTGCGTTTCCCGCCCTCACACCGCCCTGCTCCTCTCCCCTGCACCCTTCACCCTCCTTCCCTGACCTCCCCCTCCCTTCCCCATCCCCGCCCTTCACACTTCTGCCCACTTCTTCCTCCACCTCGCCTCCCCGCCATCTGCTGCTGCCCCCGCGCCCCTCAGTGTGTCCCCCCCGGCCGTACGGAGAGAAGAGCCCGCCGTACAGCGCCTGCATGCACGCCTGCACCGCCTGCTGCTGCCGCCGGCTGCCCTCCGCGAACTGCTGCCGCGCAGCCGAGCTGAGCCCCGACCCTGCCGCGCTGCTGCCGTCAAAGCTGCGGCTCACGCGGTGCCCGGCTCGCCGCACTGGGGGGGGGTTGTGAAGTGGCCCGCCAGCACCGGCGGCAGATGAGAAGCGAGGGAAGGAGGGGATAGCGGGCTTGCGCTGTGAGGCTGGCCCAAACGGGCTGGCTGTGGTATGTGGGGTGGATGGAGCGGAGTGCAGTGCGGGTGGCGGGTGGACACACACAAGGGCATGTGTGGTGTCGCGTTGAGAGGAGAAGGCGAACGAGGAAGTGGGAGAACGCGGAGGCTGACTGGGCGTGCAGACTGGAGGCGCATGGAGTGCTTCAGAGTGACCACCGCACATCGCATCACCTTCTGCCCCTACCTGCTGTGCCTGCTGTGCCTGCTGTGCCTGCTGTGCCTGCTGTGCCGGCTGTGCCTGCTGTGCCTGCTGCGGCTGCTGTGCCTGCTGCGGCTGCTGTGCCTGCTGTGCCTGCTGCGGCTGCTGTGCCTGCTGTGGCTGCTGCGGCTGCTGTGCCTGCTGTGCCTGCTGCGGCTGCTGTGCCTGCTGTGCCTGCTGTGCCTGCTGTGCCTGCTGCGCCTGCTGTGCCTGCTGCGGCTGCTGTGCCTGCTGTGGCTGCTGCGGCTGCTGTGCCTGCTGTGCCTGCTGTGCCTGCTGCGGCTGCAGCGGCTGGTGGTAAGCATCACCCTGTGCACCAGAGGGCGCGGCAACAGGCACACAGCCATCGTCGCCATCACCAGTGGCAGCAGCAGCAGCAGCGCTGGCAGCCCCTCCTCCCGCAGTTGCAGCCGCCTCAGCGCGTGCATGCAGCCAGCAGCGAAGGCCGTGCAAGCCAGGAGGCTGCGCAGGGGTGCTGCGAGTGGGGGGGTGCGGCACCCACCCCGCCCCGCCTGATGACCCTGCAGCACCACCCAAAGCTACATCCGCCCTCACACCTGCACTTGCTAGCGCTGCCTCCACCACTACTGCAGCAGCTGCTGCCACCCAGCCTGAACCCAGCCCCGCTGCGGGCTGAGAGGCTGCCCCTCTGCCCTCCGCCTCGCTGCCCTCCGCCCCTCTGCCCTCCACCTCGCTGCCCTCCGCCGGCCCCTCATGCGCCTCGCTGCCCCTCCCTTGCCCCACCCTGCCTGTGTCCGCGCCAGCCCCATCCACGTCCATGCTCGTGCCTCCCAAATTGCCCCCCCCACATGCAGCAGGCTCAGCAGCAGCATCGGGCGCAGCAGTGGAGGAGGGGGCAGCAGAGGAGGCGGGGGAAGCAGTGGAGGCGCTACAAGGACTGCTCATGGCAGCAATGGGTGGTGTGGGTTGTGGTGGTGCTGCCGCCGCTAACGCGCCTCCTGCACCAGTCAGCCTTGCCAGAGGTGCTGTGCCGCCATCCTCAGGCATGCCGCCACGACCATGGCAGGCGGCGCTGTGCGCCGTGGTAGCAGCGGCGAGCAGCGAGTGGCAGCGCGCGATGGGCTCCTGCAGCATCTCCCAGTGCAGCGGTGCCACGGCCACGCGGCTCCTGTCCACCGCTCGCAGCAGAGAGCCCGCTGAGTGCAGCAGCTGGTGGGTGAGAGGGAAATAAGGTGGGGCAATGCGGGGGGGATGAGCAAGGTGAAACAGTGAAGGGCGCAGGGAATATGACGGTAGCTGCAATGCTGTCAAGTGCCAGTGACCGTGAGAGGGCGAAGAGGAAAACGTGGAAACACGCTACCAGAGCAGTTGCACAGTGCACCCACCACGTTTTCTATGTGCCTGATCTGCGCCGTACCTGAGAGTGGGCGGTGTGGGGCGATGCAGGTGGCGATGGGATGCGGGCGTGGGAAGGAGGGGCGAGGGAGAGGAGCGAGTCAGCGATGCGCGGCAGGGCGGCGAGCAGCGAGGAGAAGAGCAGCAGGCGCAGGGGGCGAGGGGGGGGCGAGGGGGCTGCCTTGCGCATGAGGCGCAGCAGCCACACCGCCCACCGCACCGCCAGGTCCCGCGAGGACGGGTGCCACCTGCCGTGGGAGAGCAGGGGGAAGACAGGGAGGGGAGATGGGAGGAACGAGAGAGAGGGAAAAACGGAAGGTGCGTGAGGCAGAGGCGAGGCTGTGAAAGGAGGGCCACATGTGACGTGGCGTGCGGGGATGCCTTCATTGCATGCCGCCTGTGTGCTCTCGTTCATGTGGCGCACCTCACCGCCTCAAGCGCCCACCCATCCGCCGCGCACCTCTGCAGAGCCAGCAGTTGAGCGGACGCCACCTCCAGATTCCGCTCCATGTCCCGCGCCTTGCCATGCCGCCTCCTCCCACTCCCCCTCGCCTTCCATCGCACTCCCTCCTCCGCTGCCTTCCCCTCCACGCCCGCTGCTCCTGCCTGCCCCCGCCACCCCCCCACACCGTTCTCATCCGCGCCCTCCGCCCTCATGCTCCCCTCCTCCTGCCACGTCGCCTCCGCCTCACAGCGCGGTCGCCCGCTGGCAGCGCTGCCTGGCTGGTGGGCAGCAGGAGATGGCAGTGGAGCGGTGGACGGTGGCTGAGAGGCGGGAATGGATGCGGCAGGAAGGGGCGATGGAGGGACGTGTGGCCCCAACAGGGTTGGCATGGAGGAGGACAGCGTGATGGCTTGCGCTCCTGCAGCTTCTACCACCATGTCGCACCGCCCATCACTCTGCTTCCGTTCCTCACACATCTGCGTCATCTGGCCCTTCCCCAGCATCTCCTGCCCTCCCTCCTCTCGTTCCCCTTCTGCCCCCGTCGCCCCCTCATCCATTGGGTCCACCGTCATCGTGCCCCCCGCACCACCCCCCCCCTCCACACCGTCCCACCGACCAAGCGCCGCCACAGCAGCAGCCACATCGAGGGCCACCGGCTTCGTGCAACTGGCTGCTGCAGCCAGCCACGGGTGCGAGCGGGGCCCAGCGGCCATGGTGACGGGCGTCGCACTGCCTTGCTCCGCGGCACCCTTGCTGGAAAAACCACGTGACGTGCCCCCATCTTCCTTCGCCATTCCCGCCCCCACTCCGTCTCCCATTCCCCTCTCTACAGAAATACCGGCCCCTCTGTGCCTCGGACCAGCACTGCCACCGCCTCCACACCCCTCCCCCTCGCCGCTGCCTGCCTCCTTGGCTCGCCCAAGCGCGGCCACTGCAGCCGACACGTCAAGGGCGTCCGACCCCACCCGCCTGTGGCCGTGGCACGCGGAATGGCAGGCCTTTCTCGACTTGCACGCACGCACAGCAGATGCTGCCCGCTGCTGCCGCCACTGCTGCAGCTGCTCGTGCACCGCGTGCTCCCCGCCCTGCCACTTCCTCAGCCTCTGCTCGTCACCGCACCTTGATTGCACCGCCACCTCCCTCTCCTCCCCCGTCCCTTCCCCCTCCTCTCCCCCCTCCCCCTCCCCTTGCTGCGCCATCATGGCCTGCGCCACGTCCCTCGCCTCCACGCTGTCCACGCGCCACGTCTGAGCGCCCTGCCCCCCCAGCCCTGCGCGCGCCCGCCTGCCGCCATGCAGGAACGACTCCAGCGTCAGCGCGTCCTCCCCCGACCCAAACACCGAACCTGACTGCCTGCTTCGGCGCGGCTTAGCCTCCGGCCTCCAAGCAGCAGGCCGCCGGCCCTGCTCGTGCACGGTCACGCGGAACACCACCGGTTCCGCCCTCGCCGCCTGCTCCTCGCCTTCCCCGCCTTCCCCGCCTTCCCCGCCTTCCCCGCCTTCCCTCCCTCCCCGCCTTGCCGCGCCCCCTGCTTCTGCCTCCCTGCCGCCTCGCCCTGCCTGCCCACCGCTGCCTGCATTCGCCTCACACTCGCTCCACTCTCCGCCGCTCCGCTCTGCCTCCATGCCGCCAGCGCTCGCCCCTCTACAGCTCGCTCCCATCCGCATTGCCGCACCTGGCGGCCGCTCCCCTGCACCGCGCGCTGCACCGCTGCCCTTCTTGTCAGCGCCCGCCACCGCCGTTCCCAGCCACTCGTGCAACTCCTGCTCCAAGCTCACCCGCCCTCCCCCACCATTCACGCCCCCCGTGCCAGCCGTGTCCCCCGTGCCGGCCGTGCCAGCAGCGTCAGTGCCCTCCCCACGCGTCCTGCCCTCGCCCATGTCCGCCTCGCTTCCGCCCTTCGCCTTCTTCTCCCTCCCCCTCCCCGCTTCCGCCTCCCGTTCTGCGCCACATGTTCCGCCCTCCGCCCACTCCCCCCCTACACTGCCCGCAACACTCTCATCGCCCCCCCACGACCCATCCCTCCCTCTACCCCGCACGCCCCGCTTCGCCCCGCCCACCTCCCTCGCCCGCGGACCCCACAAGCCTCCTCTGCCCGCCGCCTCCCTTGCGAGCTCCCGCCACCCCTCCCCTGCGCTCGCCGCTCCGCCTGCCGCAGCCGGCCCTGCCAAAGCGCCTCCCTGCAGTCCGCCTGCCGGCCCTCCCCTTTTCACCCCACAAGCTCTGCTACTACCGCTGCCCCCAAGCACCGCCCCTCTCCGACCGCTGATTCGCCCGATCGACGCTGCTTCGCGCCCCTCCCCCACACTCCACCGCCCGCTGATCTCCCCCACGCCCCACCCGCCGCCGCCCCCTTCCAGCTCGTTCCTCCCGCCGCCCTCGCCCTCGCCGTCGCCCACCGTCCACCTGCCGCTGTCGCCGCTCGCGCCCCACCGCTCGCCCTCGTCGCCCGCCGCCCACGCGCTGCTGCTCGCCTTGCTCCACGGCGCGCCGCACCCCGGCAGCCACGCGCGCCCGCCGCCCTCCCACGGCGCGCTGGCCAGCGACGGCATCGACGCCGACGCCGCGCTGCGCCGCATCGCCGCGCAGCCCTCCGCCACCCCTAGCCGCGCGCCCACATCCGCCGCTCCTCCGCGAATCCCCGCCACGCCCCACCGCCACTCCGCAGTCGGCCCCTGCCCGTCCGCACCGTCCGCCGCATCCTCGTTGAGCGGGTGAAGCGGCGAGGAGGAGAGGCACGGCGAGAGGAGCGGCGAGCGGTGGTGCGACAGGGGCGTGAAGAGGCTGAGCGGCGAGGAGGAGGGGGACGGCAGGGTCATGGGGGAGGACGAAGGCGACGGCGCCACGCACGCGGACGCCGCACGCGCTGGTGCGCGCGCTGCCGGGGCACCGTCTGCTCCTCTGCACCCCTCAACCCGCGCTCTCCCGCCACTGCCCGCTTCCAGCCACGAACCCATCGCTCCTCGCCTCGCCCGCCGGTACCACGCGCACCCCTCGACACAGTTTTCTCGATAAGACGTCCTGTGCTAGCGTGAGCGCATCTAGTGCTATGCCCGAGGCATGTAACTAGATTGACCGCATGTCTTGATTGGAGTCTCTGGTCTGGTTGCCTGGAAACCCTAGTTTCATCATCCAACATCCGCACTGGAGTGCATGTTGGTTCGGATGGCATGTGTTGGTGACAGTGACCCTTCCTCGTCATAGCCGCTAGTTCGCTAGGGTCCACACCATGCCTCTGGAATCAGGGTAATTACACTGCTATGTAAAGGAAAACAGGGTGAAAATTAGGTACAGTCCTGCTTTTGGCGCATTTCGAAATTTGACACCCGTCCATGGACAGACACACCAAAATTACCCCACAGCCAAAAAAATTGGGTAGGGAATGGACCTACCCTGTACAATCTAACAGTTGCATGTGCTCCCCTAGGAAAAAAATACCCTTCTGTCATTTTTGTTTAAGGAGGTGAAATTTCATTATACAACGCTAAAAACATCTGCGGTCGTAATCACCCTCCTTTCAACCTCGAGAGTGGCAAGTTCCGAGCTTGTAGAAACTCTGGCCTGCAAAAACAGCCCAAATTGTACCCATCATGGACGAGTTGGTTCCCAGGTAAACTCAGATTGTGAATGGTTCTGCTCGCAGCTGCATCGAGCAAAATTATTACGTGGTAGATAAATGTTATGAATAATAACCGAGTGAGCGGGATAATGACGATTTCAAGAATGAGAGCCTACCACTGTATAGCGAGATCCCTAGCTAGGCGAGGATCCCGTGTTCAATTATATTTGTTATATAATTGTAGGCTTGGTAGGTGTTACTGAACTCTACTGTAGAGGGTACAATTCCCTCCTTGTATGCCTCTCTCTCTTGTATTCCAACACTCTTTTCTCTCGTCAACTTTCTCTCCTAGCTCCTAAACCTCTCGCCATTTCATGGCCCCCTTCCTTCCTAGCTAAGTTAGCCCCTTCTAATATCCCGGAGGGCTAGGTTGGGTATAGGCGCGAGCCAACCTCAGGGCTGCTTCGGAATCGGACCGAGGCCTGGACTTCAGAGAGTTCGGGTGTACGCGATGCAGTACCGTATCCACCCGGATAGGCGCCCCTCGGGGCATCAAGGGTGAACAACTCTTTTTTTTTTGTGGGGCTAATGATCGAATTTTTAGAAATAAGCCCCGGGGCTTGACTTACGTATGTTTTTTTTTTTTTTTTTTTTTTTTTTTTTAAAGCAAAAGTGAATATCACCCGTTACAATATATTCTTATGTACCTGGTTTCTCTGAATCCGAAAGTGTTGCTCGTTGTTTTCAACCGAAAGTGATGTTACGTTTTACTGACTCAATGAGCCAATAGGAAACCAAACCCTGCGTGGGCTGGAAGTCAGCAGATTCAAGGGTCATGTATTGCCTGCTCGCCATTGACCTACGTGCGCATGTGGCAGAAAGCGGCTCGGGACTGTCGAGAGCAAAGTATCGCGCGTGTGCGTGGAAGGAGGGGGGCAACGTACTCGGCAAAAGTTGCGTCATGTTTCGTTTTTAATCAGATTAGTCGTGTACCATAGAAGGGGCTTACACCACGTACGCCCTCCAAGGGGGGTGGGTCTTAAAATCAAATAACGCGCATAAGCCCCATTAGCTTATTAAAGGACTTAGGGTCCTATCCACTGGGAGGGCGCCTATCCAGGTGGATACGGTACAACCTGGTAAGGAATAGAATTCCTTACACTACCCGCACTTCTAAGGAAGGTGGTCAATATCGGGAACGCCATTTTGAGTCAAATGCGATTTGAGCTCCGAGTGTTCCTGAAGCGAGTCGGAAGTGACCCCGGTGTTGTCTTCGCTTGTACGGTCCGCCCAGCGGACCAGGAAATGCACGTGGCGTCCAGTACAGTGCCTATTTTTGGCGAGTAAATTACTCAGATTCTCTGATTTTCAGAGTTGATTTTGTGAATCACCCTCACGCCTCTGGGAAAAAAATTGAGATTATAGGTTTTCTTTTGTACCACCCTGAAGGTGGCAGATATTGGTCATATTGCAGGATTGGTTGCTACTGGTATGCATGAAAATCCCTCTATGAAACAGCTGATGGAAAACAGTATCGCTGGATCAAAGAGCTACTAGCTATATTAGAGCAAGCAAGTGATCTTGAAGATTTTTAAGCTATATTACCCCCAATTTTTTTAGTTACTGTAAGGGGGATACCCCCATATTTTCTTGTACCCCCTTGTCCATATTCATGCCCCCATATCCACGCCTTGTTCACGCGGACCGCCGAGCTGGCCCACGCCATATGCTGCCAGACCCACCCTCGTTGGCGGATATCCTTCTCTCCTATTGGACACTTGTGTTTTTTTCACACCGATTGCGGCGCCACACCCAATTTTACCACGTCGACTCTTGCCATACTTGTACTCGCTGTACATGTTTGTGCCTCTAATTGGTCCCTTAGTCATTTTTTGCAGCCACGCACCTCGACAGCCATGCAATACTGCGGGAATCTTTTCCCGCATGCGCGGGCATATGCTCTTCTCCAATGTTCAAGATGGCTCAGGAAGGCACCTGGCCTTCATGTGGATGGCGCAACGGACTTCAATGTGAGAGTACGACCCTGTTACACCACTAGTCCCTTTCCCTATTTCCTTTCCCTTCCATTTCTCTTTTTATCTCATCTCATTTGGTTTCCTATTCTCCATTTTCCATTAACCTTTGGTTTCTCCTGCTATTATAATTATATCACCGACCAGGCTTGGGATGTACTGGTGCGCTCTATCTAGCGTAATCCTGCCGTAATCCCTTAAAGCCAATAGCCTCGCGTGGTTATACGCAGGGTGATTCTATTTTCTTGATGGGTCTATTCCCTTGGGATAAGATAAACCTGGTTACCTGATGTACTTTGGAAGTATAAAAGCGCCTTGTACTGATCGATAGTGCAATCTTTCTTCGAGTCATTCGATCCTGTGACACTTGGTAATCAGAGCTTTTCTCACTCGGCCGTGCTCAACAAAGCAGCAGCAGCGGGAAAACCTGCCTCGAAAAACCGCAGGGGTTGACCAATTCGACGCCGATTCTGGTAAGCACTAGCTCCGCGTTTTTTCGAATCACACCCCCCGCGCGTGTTTTGAACAGGATGGCAAACTTCGACAACGCCGAAGTTACCCAGCAGCTCTTCGCGAGCATCGCAGCCCTTCAGGAGGAGATGCGAGCGGATCGCGAAGCGTGGCGAAACGAGTTCGAGCGAGTAACTCGACTCGCCGGAGCGCAGCACGACTCGACAACGGCGACGACGCAGCAGTCGCAGCAGTTTCTCGAGGCTCCGAAACCGCGCCCACCTGAGCCGTTCGATCCGAGCGATCGAAACTCCGACGTCCGCAGATGGATCGCCGGCATGGAGATCTACTTCGCAGCCGTCGGATGGAGCTCGCCAGTCTGGGACGGTCAACGTGTACGACTCGCGGCGACGCTGATGCGAGGGCCGGCACTCGAGTGGATTGGCGGCAACGGCACGTTCATCCACGGTGAAGCCACGTGGCAGCAGTTCCGCACCGACCTGCTGAAACGATTCGAGCCGATAAATTCGGGTTTCCTTGCCCGGGAAAAAATTCATCGCCATCGACGGTCCGGGAGTGTAGCACAGTACACGCAGCAGATGGAGGAAATTTAAAACCAAATTCCCGATCTGACCGAAGGGGAAAAAGTACAGTCGTACCTCGCTGGGCTGAAGACCGAAGTCAAACGACAAGTGGCAGCGTCAAACTATGCGAGCTACAGTGACGTCGTTTCGGCAGCGGAGCGCTTCGACATGGTCAACGCCGGGACACGACGGACGCACGTCGGCAGTACGCGACAGGGCGACCGCTCGGCTCACCCCACGTTCGCCGACCCGATGGAAGTCGACAGATTCGAGGGGCGGCCACGTCCGAAAAACCCCAACTACACGTGTGATTTTTGCGGGGTGCCGGGTCATCGAATCTTCGACTGAAACAAAATGAAAGCCGCACGCACTGAGTATCGGGTACGCAACAGTGGCGGAATTCCTTCGGCCAATCAGAAGACCAAAAACGGGAGTCGCCAGTGATTGCGGATCTAGCTGGCGAAAATAAAAAGATCCGGAAGCGGACGCGGGATTCCGGGAAAATCAACTTCGACGAAGCTGATTTGACGCGAGAAGGAGGAAAAGATGGGGGAAAATCTCCAACCCACGACCAGTCTTCGCCAGGGAAAATCGCCGAGGAAAAATACGACTCCGCGAAAAAAGACTATGCCGAGACGGGGAAACTCCTTGAAGACCCAAGAAATTATAAGGATTCGTTAAAGTTATCTTATAAAGATGCTTTAATGAAAACTTATGATTTTCGAGGGGCTAGAGCCTTGGAGAAAATTCGGGAAGGACTCTAAAAGAAATAGACAGCTGTGGAGATTATACCGGTACCGGACAACTTGGGGAAAAAATTAAGGAGTGTGGAAAGAAGCCGACCTTTCCACGGAGTCAACGTCCTCTCCCGACACCAGCCCACAACGACTACCCGTTCCCCAGGAAAGATGTCGGTGGAGCTGAAGCAGCTCAAGAGGAAGCTGGGGGTCTACAAAAAGCTGCACAAACCCCGAACTCCTCCTCCGGATGCATCCAGTTCAGCAACTTCGGCATCAACGACACGCACAGTCGTCAAGGAAACTCCGGGCCCTAGAGAAGAGCCGTTCTCCAAGCAGCCTCGGCCAGCTACCAGCTCAAGAGTAGATAGCAACACAAAGGTGTGTACGGAATATTGGGATGTACCCTATGACCCAATCAATGAGACTATCTTTGGGTACTCCGAGCAACGCCTGCTCCTCGTGCTCGAGGTCATCTGCAAAGGACGACGCCTCCAAGCACTCGTGGAGAGCGGAGCATCACACACCGTCTGCGACAAGGCAGTAATCGACCGACTTCGGGAAGAGTACAAGCCTTCAGGATTCTCTGCAACGATGGTGGACGGTAGCAAGTTACCAGTACACGGCGAAGCAGTGCTACACCTACAAATCGGACCACTGCGCTGGAGACCTGCACTCCCCATCACCAATATCAAAGGGCTTGATTTGATCTTCGGGCGAGACATTCCTAAAAAGATTCAACCCCGAGATCAACTGGGTGAACCGCACCGCA